AATTACATGCAGCAAAAAAAGCACGTTTGTGCTTAGTAAGATTATATTTCGACTATTTATCTCGCCATCTTATCCCTAAATAAAACATATTTATCAAAGAAATGCCTTCCAAACAATATCAATATTTAATACTCTAAACAAAACGGATCATCACCCTTCTGCAATTCCAAACTATGCTGTTTTACACTTTAAAGACAACATTTTTGAGAAATAACTGAACTGGTATTATGTGTATCGTCGTTATTGCATTCACTATGATTTATACACGGAATTTCAGATTTTGTACTCATAATTTACAAAGAAAGAAATTATTTTACAACATTAAGTTTCATGTTTCTTTATAAATACCGTAGTCTAATTGAAAGAAAAAGTTTTACGTAAAAGAATCTCTAATTGAAAAATATTCAATAGACGCCAAAGAACTGCACTCTATTTGTCTAAGAAGAAACACACAAATTTGTAGAAAAGACAGTTGTAAGGTTGCTTTATGTAGAAAGAAATACATTTGGCCTTAAGTGAGGAGATATTCACGGCGATGTAATAATAAGTTTTTGAGGAAGGATAATTGACAGGGTTTTGCTGCTCTAACACTACCGGTAAGATTAACGATCAATATTCATTAGCAACTATCTGATATATGTACAGATAATTGGAATCGCTTTATCATATGTGCTACGTTAAAATGCAGACTGTGTCCACGTATTTTTATATGCTTTTACAAAAAGAATGGTTATGAACTATCAGTATTTCATATTTAAATATTCAAGCTGCTTACAGCCATTTAAACACATCTTCTAAAAGGATTAAACACTGTTGAGGCCGTTTTACTTGTCCATTCTACTGAACAAAAATATTCAGAACTTGAAAAGAATAAAATGCATTTAACTTGAGGGAAATAATTTCTCTTCAGTCTGCAAATTATTTTTTTATCAATTTAGTTAAAAGCATGCTTTCAATTACTAAAAATCAAACAATTCAGTTGAATTGTATCTTGAAGTGCATTTTGGTTTCTGTTCTGAAAAATATTACGGTTGAAGTACAGTCCATTACACAGAAGAAGTGTTTTCCGAAATATCACAGTGATATAAAACGTGTGATGATAAGAATATGTTTTGAAATAGACGGTTCTCTTTTGTTCTGAGATTTTAACTTGATATTTGGTACAAATAAATATATCTCGAGAAAAGAAGTTGTAAAATGTTAATCAACAATTATGTGCTGTTGTCTGTTAAGTGCCTCTTATTATAACTTAATAAATACTAAATACCACGAATGTTTACAAAGCTTTATTTAAACTGGATACTTGCTGTTATACTATAGATGTGATACCAAAGTGTATAATGTAGTAAATCATGTTTCAAAAGTCCAAAATAGCGTTAAATATACATTCCCAATCCCGATAAGGTAGATTTGGTTAATTTGTATACTTTATTTCAATATGAAGAAAAACTGCCATTAAATTTCAATTCCTTTTACATGACATTTAAGGCTTTGAAACTAATTTTGTAAATAACCGAGTAGAAATGATTTGCACCATTAGCGAGAGACAATGGGAAACTATTATAAATGAGACAATTCTGTCTTTATGTTCAGATTAATTATAATGCAATTTAAAACGCTGCAAATTTCTCGTATGAAGTTAATTTCTCTTTTATATCAATTTAAGTATTTACCGACACGTACTTATTCTAACGATTTTTATAGTCATTTTATGTCATAAATATTTCCCTTTTTATAAAATTGGACGTGCTTTTTCGTTATTTCATATATATGTATTTAACTTATAATCTTGCATTTATTTTATAAAACAGCGATTGTGTTCAATCAAGCCAGGTAACAGACAAGGTGTTCATGTTCAGTAGAAAAGTGCACAACAAACAATATTTGCGGATTGTTCTAAATCGTCGCCTTATTCTAAAAATGTCCTAACTCCATTTTTACCAAAAATGAGATAACTGCATATTTATTTTAGTATTAGTTTGTTCTATCTCCAAAACAAAACATGTAAAGATTTACGTCATACTTTTGTAGATATAGCGTCTGTATTTTGTTCTATGTCCAATGGAAAGCTTTGCTTTTAGCCTTTTTTCGTCGTATCTCCAACTAATGTAACACTTTTAGGCTAATCTTTCGTGCCAGCCAATCAAGTTGAAAAATATATGTCATGTGACCTGAAGGGGCCTGACAATATAATTGTTCTAACTCCAGTGATAACAACAACGATCGTATCTAAATCAGCCAGCTAACTAGGAAATTAACAGTTAAAAAATGATTTCTGAAGAATGTAAGTAATATATTTTAGCTTTTATACGTTTTATAAGTGAATTTATATTTTGCATTAGTATTTGTTTCATCGTATAACGATTATTTTATATATATTTCTCAAAGTTTGACAATCACATAATTTCGGATAACCATATTCGGATATTCGTAAACTATTTGGAACTATTTGGAGTATCAAACATTGTTGTTGTTTAATTGTTAATGCTATTATTTTGTCCATTTCAGGTCAAACTTACTTATATTATCAGACGTTGTCCTAACAGAAATGTTGTCTCTTAGAACTTGTGACTGCAGTTAGCAGAACTTCCACAAAACTATGGAATTTTATATCAACAACATCAAGTCTGTGGGGAAATTTTGACTTGCCATCAGTTTCAGATAAATCATTGTTTCAAGTCTTAAAATATTCACAAAAGATTTAGATATTTAACATTCCAATAGGATCGGAATACCACTGTCTTGTCCAAACATAGATTTTAAGTTTGCATGCGAGTTTCAGTGTTCTTCGGGTCATCAATGATTATATTTATTAGATAATAGCAGAATTCTTAAAGCACAATACGGCATGATCTAAAATGTTGCCGGCTCGGTTTGATTTAGCCTGTTCATGGACGATATTATTAGAATGTCTAGTATCTACGTTGTGCGACAAACACCAAAATGGGAGATCGCAAAATTCACGGGATGTAAAATCTTGAAAACGACCATTTTGCAGTCTTGAAAGATTGTTAAGAACTTGAGCAGATATTTTTTCATACGCTGATATTAAACCACAAACAATACTTGAGACTTTGAGAGGCGGTATAAATGCATGTGGTTTTGACTTTAATTGTGTGAATTAAAAAAAAGTGTTCTTGTTAATATGATTTTGATATGTTTTCATTTAATCACAATATTAGAGATGGTTACAATGATTTCATTTTCATAACGGTACAAAATATGTCAGTTTGTTTTAGCAAGTTCATTGATTAAACATTTTGTGAAATGTTTGTTTTTCTTTTTTATGGCACACTTTTATATTGTCATTGTCGAGAAGGGCCCAAGTTGGAGTTCACGTGAATGAATTTACACTTTGACATAGTAATTTACAAAGATAAAGTGATTCAGTGTCAGCGGTTCAACCACTCTGGCTGAAAATGTTCTTTAGAATATAAAAATCTACTAATATTCTATAGTAAAATTATTACTCTTAAAAAGTTCTAACTCAAAAAATATTTACAATTTTAGCCTTACTTTGTCATATCTCCGCAAACTCATTTTTAGAGAAATTTTTTTATCTAAAAATAAACATTTTTGGTCTATCTCCAAATATTTTTTTTAATTTTTTCAATTACTGCAAATTATAAAGGTATATAACAAAGTGCTTTCATCACATGTGGGCATAAATAATACCAATCCAGAAGTCCACACTGTTAGGAGTTATTAAATAAAAGTTACAAAGTCTTGAACCTTTAACCCCTTTTTCCCAAAAAAGAGGAAATTGTAGATACACCATTTTTAGAATAGGGCGACGAAATGCATGTGCACAACAAATTTTAATTGTTACTGGGATTTGTTTTCAATTGAATCACATAACAGACAATATTCTAATAGTGGTATGTCATAAATGAAATGAAGTTTTTCATACAATGCGTATCTGTCCCAACCCTCTTATTACATTTACATATGATTCATTCTCTGTGATCAATCGTTTTATTTTATTTTTTGTGCATTATTGTAAATTTTATAATATACTAGAATCCGAGCCATTTGCATACCTGTAATGAAATTTATACTTGTACAGTGATATGCTGCTATTATTTTTTTCTTTTTACCTTCGTGCATCGTTCTTAAACGTTGTAAGTACGGAATAAAAAAGATGACTATAAATGAACATAACATTGTTAGAAAATGTGCTTTTATGAATGTTTAAACATCGGTGAAGCAGTAAATTATCACTATTTTTGAAATTTAACTTTATTTTAGTTGCATAAATATCTCATACTTGTACGCATTCTTTTTTGTTTATTATGTTAGTTGATTTAGTTAAAAATGAATACTATTTATATACTTAAATATTTTACATATTTAAATTAAGTCACCCTGAACAATAAAACATGCATTATGTCTTCTTACATCCGTTTATAGAAATGCTAGCATTATTCTTCTTTTCATCATGACAGTTTGTTGCTGCGAACTGCTAAAAACACAACTTCCCTTGAGGAAATTTCGCATCCAAACAGCTATTTATCACATATTTAGAGTAGTAGACGTCTGTATTCAATCAAGGGCTCGTAACAGGACATTTATTGTGGTGACATTCATCATTCACTGGAAAAATGCTGAATAAGGGAATATCCTTATTGTTAATTAGAGAATCCAAAGAACTTTCCTGCCAACTGTTCGTCTTCATTAATTGTAAGAAATTTCAAAATAATTCTATTATCTTAAGTTAAAATAATTCTATCATCTAAAGTTGAAATAATATTCTAAGCTAACTACATTGTTAACTTAAATATAAATACTTAGAAATAATATTTTACTTTTTTTATATAAACATAGTTGAATTGAAATATATCCCATATTTATGTTTATTTATACTCAGGAAAATAAATCTGTTATATAAATCTTAAAGCATAAGGTTTGATTTTATAACAAGTCAACAGCTCTTTTAGCAATATTATACATGCAATTTAGACCTTTTTCAATTCTAATATGAAAAATGATGATATACTTACAATCAAACAGAGCACATTGAATACGTTGCTTATTCTCTAGGTTTCCAGAATGGATAAGAGGCGAATTGTGATGACTATCCTTTTCTACAAAGCCTTTTACTCCTTGATGAGTGTATTTCCTTTAGAGTCATTTGACGGGTTTTAATTGAAACACTTTCAAAATATCTAATTTTCTTTTAACTAATTTAGACTTGATAATCCCTATTAATGTTACAAACAAAAGAACAGTTACAGAAATCTAAAGAAATACTCGTTACAAGCAACTTTTCTATAAATCCATTTCTGTTCGTACAACTACTGTTATTAAGCTAGGTCGTTGAAACATCTGTAGAACTGAAAACCTGCACAGTAATAGTCTCTCTTAGAACGTAATGATACAACTTTACAATCTACATAGTTTCTTGAAGCTCGCTTGTATGCTCATCTTGCTGTTATCTTCAACTTATTACTGAGAAAAAATTAACACAAAAATAAACGCCACATAAGCGTTACTAAGCAAGCATTTCAAATTTTCCAAACACGAATGCGAAAACTTAAAGATCGTATTCAAATTATTCAAAGCCGCTTACTGCAACTGACATTTCATTTTACATCAGCCAAACTGCCAATGCTATTACATTCAATAAATCGCACATACGGCTCCTTGTAAGCTGGCATGTATGGAAATAATCGCATCAGCTTTGCCTGTATAGCCTTTGACCATTGCGACGTGTATCGGATTTTGATTGGCCGAGAAGAATAGAGCGTTGACGTACGAAAGAATTCCTCGGCACATTGATAGACAACGGCTTTTCCGATAAACTTAATAAAGAAGCAATGCAGAGGAATATTTTATATAATTCCGATATCATTTGCTAATCTATTTGTTCATTTAAGATGTTCTATTACTAATTACCAAAAATGGCATAAACTATTGCAGGAAATACCGTTTGAAAGGTAGTCTTATAGGTGGTATTTTGTAGAGTCTATGATATTAATTAAAACTTTTACATAACACCACTGAATTCACGTTTAACAGTAGTTGCTTTAAGTTTATAATTATTTTCTTTTCAAAAATGAAATAATGAAACAACTACACAACGTATAAAAATCTCTTTTTTAGCAATAGCTTCGATTGTGTTAAGAATTTCGTCTCAAAATTAAACAATTTAAGAAATGGACTATGCTAGTTTGCAACTGATTGTTGTGTTGCAAGTTATTCGCTGTATGAATGGATAGTGACAACGTTTCGACTTTACCAACTTTTTGGGAAAAAAACTTTTATTTTGTTATGTGCTAAGATTTACTTATTATTTATCATACCAATGCACCTTTGAAAACTATTAACGAAATGGACCCAAACTAAATACACTTTTAATTCTTATTTAAAATTTGAATTGACCAATAATGCAATAATAGAAGGTATGAATACCATAGATAATTACGCTAATAGTATCAAGTATAATAGGTGCCTCGACAGTTTTGTTCGCATGAAAGAATACAACGTTTTTCATACCTAAAGCAGAGAGAGACAGGCGACATAAGTAGAGTACCTTACAAAAAGTTAAAAATATGTTTAGGGAATAACATATGAACAACGATAGGACTTCTTGGAATATTCAAAGTAAATAGATAGTTTTAGCGTGTTGTAATTCGGGTGTTTGTGCATTCAAGCCAATATATTGTTTTTTATTTTGTCTATTTTATTTTGTCTGCGTATGCGATAGTATGAATTAACATTCATTGTGAGTATATAATTTTATACGAATCTTTTCCGTAAAGATGCCATGAAATTCACCAAACGCCTTCATCTTACATAACCTAAACCTGACAGTCATAATTTGATTAAATTCGACGGATAATGAATACAAAGAAATATGTAAAACAAAGTCCTTTGTTTCCCTTCTATAAATATCAATCAATATATTTGATTCGGGGAGGCTACCGAACTAGTATATTATCGTAATTGTTATCATTTATAACATTTATGTAAATAAGCGGTTTATACTGGCAGTTCTAATATTTTAGATATGAATGTTCGATTATGAAACATTTCACGTATTTTATTTCTGTTTAGCTTATTTACATGAACAAATTGCTTTATTAATCGTGGCTAAAATATTTTAAAAAATGGTCAAATGTTTTTTAAATGTGCGTCTTAGAGATTCAGTATCAGACTTTATTCAATAAATTAAATTACTTAAAGAGCTATTTTGCTATATTTATATATATTCTACAAAACGCATTTCAAATTTGTTTTTACTTAAAGCGGACATTCACGCTTTTAATTATAAATAAACTCCATTTTATGACATGTTAAGCATAACCGATATAATAAACGCTAAGATGTTGACATTTTCATATCAAATTGACTAATGACAGTTTTAATTTTTGATATCTTTATTGTGTCCAGTTCTGCCGTACTAAACAAACTAAAATTCCCATTTCACAATATTTTTCTATTAACAGGTCGTCACATTTTGCAACATAATGTTATAAAAGTGTAGTACAAAAATACAAAACAATTTTCTATTTTGTTTCATGTGTAAAAAGCAACAGGGAATATTGATAAACGTTATTTTGCGTTGTCGTTTCATTAATAATAGAACGTATTTATTTGAAATATCTATTTAACCTTCCTGGAATTATTCTTTCGGGAATACTAATGTAATAGTTAAAACATGCCTACATGCACATTTCTTTGCAACATGACACACGTATACATTTGTATATTCCTTTATGTAACCTTGGTGTGTAGGGCATTAATTAATCAAACTTTAATGTCCAAAATGATTGCAATCAAACGTATCTATGTATTTAAACAAAATTAGTTATCTACTTTGTTACAACAAAACATGACGTTTGTTGAGTGCAAAAAGATTTCATTAATTGATTGAATTTCGTAACACTTACTCTTAGACTACTACAAAAACTATATTTTGTTGCGATTTTAAAATCAATTTTTGTTATCCAGTTATTATTTGCAAATCAAATTACTTTAATTTTTGTTAAATCTAGTCGAATCTATCAAGATTTTATTTCGCTAAATAAAGTAAAGATAATATTTGATGGAGACTAGTTTAAAATCAGGAAGGCATAGCGATTATATGGTATAAACACTGCATAGTGTTTTGATTGAAACATACAATAAAATATAAAGAAGTACGTATAAAGAAATATAAAGAAATTACAACATAATGGGTTTGTGAAATCCGGTTAGGTGACCATCAATACTCGTAATCGGCGTACCAACAATACATACAAACATATAAAACTCTTTAAAGTATGTCCATTTATCCTCGCTGTTTTTGTTTTTAATGTAAAGTAGGGGTTCGGGAATGTTCGGTGTGCTTTCAAGATACATATTTAAGTCAGGATTGTAAATGTAAACTGGTCCTGTTGCGATACTACTCCTGAATACAATATTTTATCTAGAAACTCAAGAAAAAATATTAGATACTATCAGACTTATATCTGTGGCTTGAATCATCAAAATGTAAGTGGTATATTAGAATATCTGAAAAAAGTAAAACTGTATCACAGTGAAGTTTGTCGCTTAATCCGATCACCTGACTATTTAAATCGCAATTGCGACAAGATTAATCAATTTCCTATGTTGGAACGCGTGTCAGTAATTTAAAAGTACCCTGCAGAACTGGCAATACATTAAGAAAAAAGCTTAGTTCACATATAATTGTTGCTTTTGTCAGGGATCGATCGGTTTTGTCTGATACGTATCATTTTGTTACAGGTTTTGTCTTATTTTATACACAATGTAACATTATATTAGGAAAAGATAAACCAAAGATATTCTTTAAAACCATATACAAAATGACTTGCAATAACTCTCTCTGATCAAGCAATCAAGTGTCGTACGATTTAAAACATCACTCAAAATAATTCATCAACCGTATTTTCTTAAGATTTTTAATTTTATTCTTTACACCGGAATAAATTTAAGCTTCACTTTAGACATGCATTGTAATTTTTTCAAATGTGCTTGGACAATTTTTTTTATTAAGGTAGCAAAATTCTGTTACTTGCGAAACCTGGTTTTCATTCAATTTTTATTTCGAAATTTTGACTTCCTAAGCTTGTTCTATTTATAGAAATGCTGAAACAAATAATTAGTTATAACAGATTCATGAAACATATATTTAACAAGAAATATCTATTATAGAATTACAGAAGATATTCGGTATGGGTTAACATAGTTTAAAATCTAACTAATATCTGACTGTTTTGTTAATGCAGAAATATTAACAATGCTATCAATTGACATATCCGACATAGCACACGGTTTGTTGGTGTTGCTTTCCTCAAAACTGAGATATTTACTACAAAATGGCCGGGCTCGGGTCCAATTGCTGTCATATTCAGTATTCGAAAACAAACAAGAGTGAAACAATGAAAGAAAAAGGAACAGCCCCGCTATCTACGTATATCACGAACAATCCATTCACATTAAATTGCATAAGATCTTCCCAAAATAATTGTTAATTATTAACATAAATTGGTATACCTTCGCGTTTATTGGCACTACTGCCCTCTCATGTGTTGATGTCTTGCTGATTTATGTTCAATGTCTAACTTGTACATCTACTGGAAGTATGAAACAGATTGCGACCAAAACATGCTTATTAAGACCAAACACCTATTTTTTAGTTTAGCGTAAGCATTAGAACTATCAAGCTTAAGAAAAAAAGAGAAGTGTGTAAGTTAGAAAGTTTAAGACAGGTCAGGGGAACCATTGTTTTCAATCAATTTACTTATGCCAAACATAAAGCCATACTTTTACATGTCGTCTTTGACCCCACGAATTAAGAGCTTATACACACCGACTTCCTTTAAAACATACAAAAATACCTGAAATAGTATGTTATTGTTAAAGTCAGAGGATATTTAAGTGCCTGAAATTTTGATCCATGTTCGTTCGCATAAAGATCATTTCTTAAAATACCATTAAAACTGATGGAAAGGTCTTGAATAGTAGTTTTAAATTCTCAAGATTTTTTGTTAGCAAAATTCTGCATGTTATGAATGTTTACTTCTTTGAAGGAAGATCATCCAAAAACTTTTGTGTGAAGTCAGAGAGTTATTTACAAAATGATTTAATTACGGCTGTTAAAAATACAGTGTCATAACACGGATAGAAGACGGACGATGATGACAGCTAATCTTGTTCTAGTTGGCTTATAAAAGCGTCATCGTATGCATTTTGTTTGATGTTCGTAAGAAAAATAGCAGTTTATTAACTAGGTAGAAAAGCAGTACCAGCAAATAAGAAAGTGGATGTTATTTTCTAACATATTTTTAAAAGTAATATATATTTTGATTATTGATGATTTAACATCATATTAATATTAATTGATTTTGATGTTTAACGATATTTTGTTTTAAGTCTGGGAAATAAGTTATTGTATTACATATATAAAATAAAAACACATATGCAAAATCAATAGAATATATTTTACCATGTTGAATATTTAATTAGTCAATTCAAATGTACCGTATTGATGTTAATTATGTAATAAAACATTATTTGTAGAGACAAAATACCAATAAAATGTCATGCTCTTCTCAATGAGACCTGTAATTATAAAATATTTTGGATTATATTCGTTCGTTTTTCATTTTATACGATTCTGTTTGGTAGAATAAGTCTAGACATAGGAATGACTTCGAAAACAAAGAAATTGATTTAAACCTAATGTAATCTTAATCTAATTTCAACCAACATTATA